AGGAGAAGGAGGGAGGAGGAGGAGGAGGGTGGAGGGGGGGAGGAGGGGGAGGAGGAGGAGGGGGAGAACCCCGGCCCATGGGGGGAGCCGACCCCGGGCGGGTGGCACGGCCGAGCGCCGTCCAGAACAGCATGACGTGCGGGCGTGCTACCGCCCTGGGGTCGGCCCCCCCCCCCCCCCCCACCCCCCCCCCCCCCGACGGTGCCTCTCGGTGGCGGTGGCCCTGCTTGAGGCAGTTTTTTTGTTATTTCTCTGGCATGGTTGCTTGCATGTGACATTTCTCCCCTCCCCCCTCCGCCACCCCCCCCTCCCCTCTCCGCCACCCTTTCGAGCAATGCCAGGCCGACAAGGTGTGCAAGAGAGTCCCGGCTTGCGTGAAGTCCAGATCCCCTCTCGGGCCTCGCCACGCCCCCCACTCCATGCAAGTGAACTTGCTGGAAACCAGAGAAAAACTGCCTCCGGAGACCGCCGAGTGCCGCCGAGGAGTGCCGAAGATCGCCGGATGCCGATGGTCAGAGGAGCAAGGTTCATGATCATGATTTTCGAGGCCTCCCAAATGGAGTCGGAGTAGTCGGGGCTTGAAGATTCCGCCGCATCGCCGATGCATCGCGATGCGGCTCGATGTGGAGTCCGATTTTCTCCACGCCACCGTCGCCGATGCATCGGTGATGCATCGGCGATGTGGCGGAGTCCTCCGACCCCACTTGCCCGGACCCCATCTAGGAGGCCTCTAAGCAAGAGGTTATGATGATGATGATGATGATGATGATGATGATGATGATGATGATGATGATGATGATGATGATGATGATGATGATGATGATGATGATGATGATGATGATGATACAGTGGAGACCAAGCCAAGGAACACCCTGCTTGCCTCCAGGGTGCCCTGGGTTTCTTGGGTTTCGATGGTCTTGCGATGGAACGCGTGACGTTCGCACACCGAAGATCCATGGACGTCCTCGGGTCTCAGGGTTGGGTTTCTTGTGGGAGGTTCCTTGTGGACTGGCCTCCGCTGTACGTTTCAGGATTTGAAATATATTTCGATACTCCACACAGGCTGCGGAATGGAGGGCCGCTGGAGACTGCAGAAGTCGGGACGCGCCCCGCGCTGGTACGGTGGGGGCGTGCGTTACGAAGTGTGCCCCGGGAGGCCTCAGACCCTGGAGGACCCCTTTGACGAGCGAACAACACACCCATATTCCAGATTTCGTAATAAAAGGGAGGGGGTCTCAACCCTCCCAGACGAGAAGTTTTAGACCCCCCCCCGTGGGAGAACCCTCCAAAACCTCGTCCCCAGACCCCCACAGGCCCTCCAAGATAGCTTGGAAGAGCCCCCCCCCGAAATGAGACCCCCCTCCCTTTATTACGAAATCTGGAGTACCCATAGGGAGGTCGGAGGGAGAAGGACTGGCCGTGGGTATGGGTGCGGGCTGTCGGACCCCTGGGGAGGCCCCCGTTTGAGCGGGGACCCCCATCCGGCAACACTCATTCCGTCCCGCCCATGGGCATTGGTGCGTGTTGGTCGTGCGTCATCCTTTTCTGACGAGGGCGGCGGCGAGATCCATGGCCCAGCTTCACAGTTGATGTCCCCTGCGGCCTGAACAGCCACTTATAATCAAAAGCGCACAACGACGTTCCAGAGTGGAAGAAGGAGGAGGAGGAGGAGGGGGAGGGGGAGGGGGAGGGGGAGGGGGAAGAGGAGGAGGAGGAGGAGGAGGAGGAGGAGGAGGAGGAGGAGGGAGGGAAGCGGTGCACAGGCCTCCAGAGCCTTGTTCTCTTGCCCGATGAGGTCCCTCATCGAATGCCCTCACCGTGCGGCAGGTTCGCGCCGTGCCGACCGGCGGCGACCCCACCGCGTGCGCTGAAGGTGGCACGCCGCTCCGTGGCCCGTCGTGGAACGAGCCGGCGTTCACGAAACGTCCGATCGTTCAAGTCGAGGAAGAAAAAGCGCCATAAACATAAAATGTTCGGCGTTCCGCGCGGAATTCTTGGATCTGCGCTGGGCCCCCCCCGGCGGCGCCTCCGGCGCCGCCCCCAGCGCGCTCCGCGCGCCGGGGAGAGGGGTCCAGAGCAGATCCAAGAAATCCGCGCGGAGCGCCAACAGTTTCTGTGCATGCCGTTTTTTTCTCTCCTTCTCTCAAGCTGGAACGAGCCCCGCGGTGTCAGGAGCCAGCGCCGGGGTCGACACGACGCGAAGCTGTCCCAGATGTGTGGCCACGGGCCCGTGACCGAGCACGCGTACTCCGGATTCCATGATAAAGTAGGGGGGGTCACATTCGGGGGGGGGGGTCTAATTTGAGCTGTCTTGGAGGGTTTGGGGGGGGTCTGGGCAAAGGGCCGCCCTCTCATGGTTGGTCTGGGGGGGCCTAAAACTTCTCGTCTGGGAGGGTTGTGACCCCCTCCCTTTTATCACGAAATCTGGAGTAGTCGTATACGGGCCCGTTCCGGCCGGCGGCCCCGGCCGGAGCGGGCCTCGCCTCTGCGGGGGGGCGGCGGTGCGCGCCGCGGCGCGGCCCCCGCGGCCGCGCGCCCGGGGCGGCAGAGAGGCGCGCGCCCCCCCTGCTCGGCAGGATCGGAGCGGGCACGTCAAATCCCTTATCGATCGACCCGCCCCCCCCTAGAAAGCCGCTTCGAGGGACATAGCGACGCTTCGAGGGACTCAACGACTGCTCGAGGCCATCCACAACGGCATGGCACCGGGGCTTGTGCCCCCATGGCTTGAGCCGAGATGGCTCGAGCCCAAATGGCTTGAGCTGCTCCGAATCCCTTATTAATCGACCCCCCCCAAAAAAAACCGGACCCCCCTCCAAATGCGGCCCAATATTCTGGACCCCCCTCTTCGACGAAGCGCCTGGATGAACCGGACCCCCTATGTTCCAATCCAGAGAGAGCGCCCTAATAAAGAGGACCCCCCCAGTTACCAAAAAGGCGCTCTAAAAATCCGGACCTGTGGGACGTTTAATATGGGATGTGGAGTACGGCAAGAAGGAGTACAGTCGGGGCGCTGAAGAAGGAACTCTTTTCGTCGGGGAGGGGCTCGGTGTTCCTTGATTGTGTAACCGTTTGCCTCAGGTTTTCCTGAGGTTTTCCATGGAACATCGAGGCTTAACCTATGGGAAAAGGGGGCCTCGTTCCTTATTTACGGTTTCTTAGGTCAACGCCCTGACTATACGAAGACCTACCGCATTTTTCTAGGTCTCCTAGGTGGGGTCGGAGTAGATGGGGTCGGAGGTTCGCGCCGCATCGTCGATGCATCGGCGATGCCGCCCGATGTGGAGCCCAACTTCCTCCACCGTGGCGTCGCCGATGCATCGCCGATGTCGCCGACGCATCGCCGATTCATCGGCGATGTAGCGCCGACGCGGGCCGATCCAGGCCTGCGGGATCGATCCTCGCGGGCCTCCGCAGGCGGTGGATCTGAATAGATTCGGGCCCTCGGGGACCGCCCGCTCGGGGCACCAGGGCGTCGGCTCCCAGGCGGTGGACATGGATAGAAATTTCCGCCTCGCGGCACGGATCCTTCCCGACCGCAGTGGGGGGGGGCGCGTCGCCGCGACGGCTCGCCGCGCTCGGGGCGGCGGCGCTGCGCGCTGGCCCCCGAGCACTCCGCGAGCCGCCCGAGGGGGGAGCGGCGCCGAGCGGTCGCGGGCGACGGCTGGAGCTCGAGCGCGCGGCGGCCCGCGCGGGCCCGCAGCTGCGGCGCGGTCGAGTCGGGGGTTGTGCTTCCCCGCCCGCTCCAGAGCCAGGCGATCGCAAGCATGGGTCAAGACGGGGCGTGGATGAGCGACGGGTCCCGTTTGCAGATGAAGTCGCTGATGCCCGCCGCCGAACGAGGCGGCACCAGCGGCATTGTGGGGAGGGCACCTCTCCCGATCCATGGATCAGGCGACCGCGCGCCAAATCCATGGATCGCCAAAGGAGGAGAACAGCAGACTTAAGTCGGGCACGTCCCTCTACAGGAGGAGTATTCAAAAACAGTCAAACAATAGTCTGGGGACGATTTTTCTTTAGTCTTTTTGATCATTTTGGAATGTGTTTGGGGTATTATTTGTTTTTCACCCAAAATCCCCCTGTAGGGAGACACGGCCGACCTAACACCAGACCCCCTCGCGCTGTGTCAGGATTGGCTGCGGGAGGTTTTTAGCCACTTTCGGCCTCAGGGGGCCCTTGCCGGGCCTCGGGAGCGTCAACAAAGGACTCGGGATGAAGAGAGGGTCCCAGGGAAGGGGTCCCGAACTTTGGGGGCCGGCGTTGTTAGCAAAAATCACGACGTCGAGGAGCTGGGAAGGTACGGTAGGTTCGTGTTGTGTCGACCGGCGGCGACTCCGCCGCCGGCCTTCAACGTTGAACGCTGGCGGCGGCCCAGAATCGGTCGACATTGAACGATTGGACGTTGCGGGAACGGCCGATCGTTCAAGGTTGAATGACCCCCGCAGTGTCAGGAACCGACGTCCGGGTCGACACGACACGAACCTGCCGTACCCCTACTGCTACCCTTCCCTCGTTTTCGCCTTTTGGGGCTTCCTGGGAGGCCCGAAAGGCGCCGCCGCCGGACTCGCCTCGAAAGATTCGGGTCTGCTCAGAACGCTCCCCAGGAGAGGTCCAGGGAGTAGATTTAAGTCGGACGTGTCCCTCTACAGGAAGAAATTCAAGAATAGTGAAAAATAGTATGGGGACGATGATTAGAATCTTTTTTAGAATATTTTTGACCATCTTTCATTTTTCCTACAAAATCCGCCTGTGGGAGGACATGCCCGACCTAAGAGTAGATGTATCGGTACCTTTTGGTTTCCCCACCTCTGCCTGCTGCTGTCGTTACAACGTATCCCGCCACTCCGCCTCCTCCTTGCCCTCCGCATCTGTATGGAAGGTGGCAGGCAAGCAGTCCATCGTCTTTGTACTCTCCCCCTCTGCCTGTCTACAACGCTTGTTAGCTATGGTCTGCGGACGGTTGTGAGGCATTCGAGGCGTGCGACTACACTGTCAGCAGCCGCACAATCACGCTACCACCGTCGGCAGCAGGGGACATCTTCGTAGCGTAGACGATGACAGCATCACCAGTCATAGTCAACGGCAGCGGCCACAAAGGTGACGACAGTGGCGGTGATTATACCACACCAAGGGCAGATTCCATCAACAAATGTGGCATCGTGTTGCGCACTATCCAGGCTGTTTGCCGCACACTTGTTGATTACATGCATGGCTGCTGTGGAAGGATAACAGAACATGTGATTCGGGCACGTGCAGAAATGAGGCGGAATGGGACGGCCCACCCATGGAGCGAGCGGCATCAACGGTGGCAACTTGATGGTAGACCGGTCGTGCACCGCTGCGATTTAAAGCCCCGGTGCCCGTGTCTGGGGTGGATGCTGCCGACGAGGACGATGGCGGCGGGCAGTGGCCGCGCTGACGTCCAGTTGCCTTTGGGAGACAGGGGGGTGCAGCTCGGCTCTCGGGTTATGATTTCCCAACCTGCTTCAGCCTCGACCACCAGGAAGTATTTCGAGCGCCAAGAGAGTGCCGAAGCTGGAGGGTTTTCTCGCGTCGGGCCCTGGGAGGCGAGATTCGTTCCACACTGCTTCCATACTTTTCCGTGTGCTCGAAGTTATTTCTGGAATGTGGTGCTTAAGTACGATTGGAGCTACATAACTCTCGGGGGGGCGAGGAAGCATCGGCGGCGACGGACGATCCACCGAAATCGCAGGATGCAGGCGCAGGTCATCGAGCCCCGCCAGTTGGAGGGGGCAAGGAGGTGGATGATGATGATGATGATGATGATGATGATGATGATGATGATGATGATGATGATGATGATGATGAGGATGAGGATGAGGATGAGGATGAGGATGAGGATGAGGATGAGGATGAGGATGAGGGAGGATGAGGATGAGGATGAGGATGAGGATGAGGATGAGGATGGGATGAGGATGAGGATGATGAGGAGAGGAGGAGGAGGAGGAGGAGGAGGAGGAGGAGGAGGAGGAGGAGGAGGAGGAGGACCCCCCCCTCCTACTCATGGTGTTGACGGTGGAAAACAAGCCCACCACCTCCCTCCCCCCAGAGGTCTCTCCTGGAGGCGCAACAGGAAGGCGAGGCCCCCCGCAGGTTTTTATGGAGGCGTGCCTCCGCGGGGCCTCCGCGGGGCACCCGGATGCCTGGACGGAAAGGGGGAGGTCGAGAGCAGATTCGCCGTCCCAGGGGAGAGCTTGATGGGCAAAGTTTCCACAACCCAACTACCATATGTAGGACGGGGGAGAGGGGAGGATGAGGAGCTCCTCCTCCTTGTCCTCCTCGTCCTCCTCGTCCTCCTCGTCCTCCTCGTCCTCCTCCTCCTCCTCCCTCTCCGACCTATGGTAGTGGTGGTGAGGAATCGGCTCATCAGAGCTCGCCCTGGAGAGCCTCCCCTCGTTCCGTGGCATCTTCGGGGCGGGCTCTCCTTTTCCGTAGCGGTCTTCTCTTGCGGTTGCGCCGACGTGGCTCCGACGCCGATCTGACGTGCGCTTGACGCGGGTTCGACACGTATTCGACGCGATCGAGACGTATTCGAAGCGGGTTAGACACAGATAGCTGGCGCGAGGGAGCAGACGAGGTCATCCAAAGATGCAGTGTAGCCCTCCCTGCCCCGCCGAGAGGTTGTTCGCCGCCTCCCCCTCCTCCTCCCCCTCCTCCTCCTCCTCCTCTTCCCTTTATCTCCTCCTCCTCCTCCTCCTCCATACTCCTCCTCCTTCCCCTTCTCCGCCTCCTCCTCCTCCTCACTCCCCTCTCACTCATCCTCCTACCTTCTATCTGCTCCTACTCATCCTCCTCCTTCTCCTCGCATCCTCCCTCCTTCTCCTCTTCCTCCTCCTCCTCCTCCTCCTCCTTCCTCCTCCCCTCCTCCTCTTCCTCCTCCTCATATCCCTCTCCTCCTCCCTCTCCTCTCCTTTCTCCCTTCCCCATCCTCCTCCTCCTCCTCCATCTCCTTCTCCTCCCCCCCTCTCCTTCTCTCCTTCCTCTCCCCTCCTCCTCCTCCTCTCCTTCTCCTCCTCCTCCCCCTCCCCCTCCCCCTCCTCCTCCTCCTCCCCCTCCATCTCCTCCTTCTCCTCCTCCTTCTCCTCCTCCTCCTCCGCCTCCTCCTCCCCCTTCTCCTCCTTCTTCTGTGTGTGCTTTCGCTCTCGCTTTTGGGCGTCGTTTGGTCAGCCTGCTTCCGGCGCTGCGGCACCACCTCCGTGCTCTCACAGGGCCGCTCTCCAGGACGACTGTCGGCGTCCAGTCCTTTCTTCAGCTGGTGTGGAACACGCTGGAGGTTTTGTGGTTGTCGTTGTCGTTGTCGTTGTTGAACTCTCAGTTCTGAAGAATAATATTATTGTTGATCCCTCCTCGCCGGTGCGTGCGGTTTTTTCTCAATCAAAGTGTGCCCCTCGACGCTCGTACTCAGTTTTTTGACAGGGAAAGTCTTCCTGCTCAAACTGGACCACTGGCCCCCCGGATTACAGCAACAACGGCTCCCGCCTGAGACTTCCTCCAAAATTACGCAGGTCCCCCGCTCCTGAGGCGTCCTCACAATTTACTCAGGATCGGTGCTCCCGCCTGTGACGTCTTCGCAATTTATTCAGGACCCCCGCTCCCATCTGCGACTTTCTCAAACGTTACGCAGGAACGGCGCTCCCGCTTGAGACTTCCTCGCAATTGAGTCAAGACTTCCTTACAATCTAATCAAGACCCCCGCTCCCGCCATAGAACCCCTCACATGTTATTCAGGAATTGCGCTCTCGCCTGTGACTTCCATGCAATTTATTCAGAAATCGCGCTTTCGACGCTCAGGAAACACGCTGCGCCAAGGACGCCGTTACAATTTACTTGGTAATCGCGCTCTCGCCATACTCAGGCATCCCGCTTGAATGTCCCACCCGCCCGACCCGCCCGTCAGGTGATCGCCCGCCCATCGTGGGCTCCCGCCCGAGACTTCCTTCAGGAACGGCGCTTGCGCCCAGGACTTCCTCGAACGTTCACGCTCTTACCTTCCTGTTCCTCCTCCCTCTCCCTCCTCCCTCATCCCTCCTCTCCTCCCTTCTCTCTCCCTTCTCTCTTCCCTCATCCTTACGCCTCTCTGCCCTATCCCCTCTCCCTCCTCTCCCTCCTCCCTTCTCCCTCCCCTCTCCTGCCTCCTCCCTCTTTCTTTCTTTCTTTCTTTCTCTCTCTCTCTCTCTCTCTCTCTCTCCCCTCTCTCTCTCTTTCTCTACCTCTCTTATCAGTCGTTTTTGTTGTTCCTCTCTCTCTGCCTCTAATCAACCGCCCCCCTCGTCGCTCCTTCTCTCCTTGCGTTTTCCCTCTTCCTTCGTCCCTCCCCCTCCCTTCCTACCACTCTCCCTCGTTCTCCCCTTCCTCTTCTTGCAGGGCCAACACCAATTCCAATGGCGGGCACATGTACGCCCACGAATGATTGTCCGCCCGTTCAGGTTTGCCCGCCTGTCTAAGCCCGCCACCCCCGCAAAGAGAAGTAATCCCCCCAAAAGGGCGGTGATCGAAGACAAAAAGGGCGGGTATCGAGGGTGTGGGGAACTCGGTTTGAACGACACACGGGCAAGTAAGAGCGAACAGTCTTATACTGATTGTTGTTGTTGCTGCTGTTGTTGTGGATGCTGTCGTTGCTGCTGCTGGTGTTGGTGGTGTTGTTCTTGTTCGTGTTGTTGTTCATGTTGTTGTTGTTGTTGTTGTTGTTGGTGTTGTTGTTGTTGCTGCTGCTGCTGCTGTTGTTGTTGTTGTTGTTGTTGTTGTTGTTGTTGTTGTTGTTATGTTTGTTGTTGTTGTTGTTGTTGTTGTTGGTGTTGGTGTTGGTGTTGGTGTTGGTGTTGTTGTTGTTGTCGCTGTTGTTGACAGTTAATTACTAAATAAGTATTATTCTTGGACCCCCCCCAGGAGCTTTGGCGCTCTCGCCTCGGCGCCGGCGACAATTTCATTGAACATGATGCTCACGCTCGAGCGGTTTGGGGGGGCGCCAAAACCGGCCCAACAACAACAACGCTCCCGCTCGAGACTTCTTCCTTTTTTGCTTATGGCCGGTGCTCTTGCTCGCCACCGAAAGCCGCCGTCCCAATAAAACCAGCGCTACCGCCCGAGACTTCATCCCGCTTTTGCCTTGGACTGGCGCGCTAGCCTTTTTCTCCAACAACAGCGCTCCCGCTCGAGGGTTCCTCCCTTTTTTACACAAGGCGGCGCTCCTCCTCGCCGCCGAAAACCGCCGTCCCGAGAAAACCAGCGCTCCCGCCCGAGACGTCCTCCCGTTTTACGCTAAACTGGCACCCGACTCTCTTTTGAATTGGCGCCGCTCCCAGCAAGAACAACGCTCCCGCTCGAGGCTTCCTCCCTTTTTTCTCCTCAGGACGGTGCTGTTCCTCGCCGCCGACAGCCCCCGTCCCGACAAAACCACGGCTTCTGCTCGAGACTCCCCCCCTTCTTACTCAAGGCGGTGTTCCTCTTCGCCGCCGACACTCGCCGCCCCAACAGAACCAGCGCTCCCGCACGAACGTTTTCTTCTACGCTGGACTAGCGCCCTACTCTCTTCAGCATTGGCGCCGCTCCCAGCAATACAGCGGCCCTGCTCGAGACTTCCTCCCTATTCAGGGCCAGGTCCTTGCCTCGCCGCCGACGGCCCCTATCCCCACCAAGGCAATCCTGTCGCTCGATACTTCTTGTGTTTTACCCTTGGCTGGGGCTCCACTGGCGGTCTCGCATCGGCGCAGCAAGGCGCGGGCATGCGTCTTCGAGGCGGGATATGTTGAAATTCCTCGGATGAGGTGTTTGCAAGACCTCATTGGGCGGGAAATCTGGGAATGGGAATAACGGACCCCGCTATAGAACAATAGTCCCCCATGATGGGGATGGTTATCATGATGGTCGCATGCTTCGTGTGGAAACATCGCGCATGAGGGTCAACTGATCCTCGTTGTTGTTGTTGTTGTTGTTGTTGTTGTTGTTGTTGTTGTTGTTGTTGTTGTAATTGTTGTGTTTATTTTTGCTGTGGTTGTTGTTGTTGTTTCATGTAGAATAATTATTGCTGATCGTCTGAAGCGGTTCTGCGCGCTCTTGCCTCGACGCCGGCTACATTTTCTCTGACAACCAGGCTCCCGCTCGAGCGTTGGCAAGAGCCTAAATGTGGGCCCTTGGAGGCCCAGCTACGACGCCAACGGCTCCCGTTCGATACTTCCTCGCAATTTACTCCGAAGCACCCTGGCCAGAGAGGCCCCTGACTGAACTCAGGATCGGCGCTCTCGCTCGAGACTCCCTCGCAATTCAATTTAGTTGGCGGAGGCCCAGCCATGACGACAGGCTCCTGCTCGATACTTCCTCACGATTTACTCCGAGAGCCCCTGGCCAATAATGCCCCCGAACTCAGGAACGGCGTTCTCGCTCGAGACTTTCCCGTAATTCAGGCAAGGTGGTGGAGGCCCGGACACGGCGACAAGGGCTCCCGTTCGATATATCTCCACAGGTATTCCGAGAGACCCTGGTCAGAGAGGCCCCCGAATTCAGGAACGGCGCTCTCGCTCGAGACTTCTTCGCACTTCAGTCAGTGGCCGACAAGGAAGAGATTCACCCCGAAATGGGGTGCATTCGAAGACGAAGTGGGCGGGTATCGAGGGTTGGGGTATACGGAATGCAAGACACGCGTGCCAGTAAGATCGAACAGTCTTAAACTGATTGGTGTTGTTGCTGTTGTTGTTGTTGTTGTTGTTGTTGTTGGTGGTGGTGGTGGTGGTGGTGTTGTTGTTGTTGGTGTTGTTGTTGCTGATGCTGCTGCTGCTGCTGCTGTTGTTGAGTTCTCATTTCAGAAGAATAATTATTGTTGACCCCCCCCACTGGTGCATACTGTTTTTTCTCAATCAAAGTGTGCCCCTCGACGCTCGCTTCCTGTTTTTGGTCAGGGAAAGTCTTGATGCTCAAGCTGGGCCCCTGGCCCTCGGGTTACAACAACCACGTCTCCCGCTTGAGACTTCCTCACAATTTAGCCAGGACCCCCGCTCCCGCCCGTGACTTCCTCGCATTTTATTCAGGAATCGCGCTCTCGCCTGGGACTTCTTACAATTTATTCAGGAATCGCTCTCCCGGCGCTCTGGAGTCGCGCTCTCGCTGGAGACTTGCTTGCAACTTGCTGAAGAATAGCCTTGCGTTGGAATTTCCCGCAATTTGCCCAAGCGCCGCGCTCCCGACACCCAGGCACCCAAGAGTCGCGCCCGTTGTGGCCCCATGTGCATGCCCTTCGTGGCCCCGCTGTCGCCAGTTGTCCCCCTCACTGTCCTACGTGGCCCAGTTGCTACCCTCAGTGGCCCCATAGTTGCCTTCTGTGGCCCCGCATTATCTGCACTTCGTGGCCCCCGCTCGTTCGCGCTCTTCGTGGCCCCATACGCATTCCCTTCGTGTCCCCGCTGTCGCCCTTCGTGGCCTACTTCGTGCCCTTCGTGGCCCTGCTGTCGTTCTCTCTCGCTCTCGCTTTCGCTCGTCGTCGCCGTCGTCGTCGTCGCTGTCGTCTTCGACGTCGACGTCGTCGTCGTCGTCGTCGTCGTGGTCGGTCCCCTGTCCGTCCCTCTTGGGGTCGGGTCGACGGTCCGCGGCCGCCCCGCCGATCAGCGCTGCCGCTGGCCAGGCTGACGGTCCGCGGCCGCCCCGCCACTTGCCGGGGCCCGGCCTGCAGGGAAGAAAGGTATACCCCCCAGAAGGGGTTCGATCGAAGACGAAGAGGGCGGGTATCGCGGGTTTGGGAAATACGCGTTATTGGACACTCGAGCATATGAGGGCGAACAGTCTTAACATTGTTGTTGTTGTTGTTGTTGTTGTTGTTGCTGCTGCTGCTGTTGTTGTTGTTGTTGTTGTTGTTGTTGTTTCTGTTGTGGTTGTGGTTGTGGTTGTGGTTGTCGTCGTCGTCGTCGTCGTCGTCGTCGTCGTCGTCGTTGTCGTCGTCGTCGTTGTTGTTGTTGTTGTTGTTGTTGTTGTTGTTGTTGTTGTTGTTGTTGTTGTTGTTGTTGTTGTTGTTGTTGAGTGTTGTTGAGTGTTGTTGCTGCTGCCATTTATTGCCACGAGTTTTTGCTGTTTCGGCTTTCGGCCAACCAAAACGAGGAAAGCAGCGGCAGCCCAGAACAGGAACAGTTGCCGTGCAAGGCGGACCCGGACCGAACACGGCGGCGCGAACGATGATCCCAGAACGGACAATGACAGATCCCACAACGGAATGGAAATAGCGGCCTTGAAAACGGTAAAGGAAGGATCATTCCTAGCTTTCTTCACGTCATCTGAGGCCTTGTCTCGGCGTCGCCCCAACATGCTTACACTATGTGTGCGTCGCCCCCGCCAGGGGCGACGCGCGCACCGAGAACTCCTGCAGTATGTGCGTCGTCGCGGGCGCTTTCTGGCCACCCCGCTCGGGAACTGGTATACGACAACCTGGGTATGCTACATGTTCGGGTCGGACGCGGCTCTCCTTCTGCCGCCGGGAGGGGCAACAAATCGTGCCCCCCCCGGCCCTCACTTGAACGAAGGATTGCAAAAAAAAGATGGCAAAAAAACGAAGGATTTTTGCAATCCTTCGTTTTTTTTTTGTTGCAATCCTTCGGATAACATCTAGTACTCGTATGTCTTTGTGCGTCCCACTGTGCTGTCCCCCGCCGAGGGTCCGCCAACGAGCGCCCGCCGCGCCCCGGGGCCGCCGCGCCCGCTCCGCGGCAGGCCGTGTTCGACGGCGGCTACGAGATGTGCCGCCTGCTGCTGGCCGCCGCCGCGGACCCTCGGGGGGGGCGTGCCCGAGGCGGGCATTTACACATGACCACCGCCTGGAGGATCAATTTTCGGGGACCTCGGCAGGCGGTGGAGATGGATATATATATATATATATATACATATATGTATATATGTATATATATATATAGATATATAGTCGTTTCGCTCATTCCGCTGGCCCTTCTTGTCGCACCTCTGTCGATTTGGGGGTGTATTCCAGAGGGGGTCGCAGTGACCGTGGATTTGGTTTGGGGGGTTCGTCGCAGATTCTGGCGGGGTTGTCCTTGGGCAATCGTGGGTGATCACGGGTCTGGTCGGTGATTTGCTTGTGTCGGTGAGGGGTTGATGATTCTGGATGGTCGCCGTGGGGCCATGTCGCAGATCGGAGGTATTTGTCGCAAGTTTGAGCTTTTCCGTTTTGGATAGTGGCGGCTTGTGAATGCGACTGCAGGAAGGGGAGCAGGAGGAAGAGGAGGATGAGGAGGACGACGAGGAGAGTGAGGAGGAGGAGGAGGAGGAGGAGAAGGAGGAGGAGGAGGAGGAGGGGAGGAGAGGAGGGGAGGAGGAGGAAGAGGAGGAGGAGGAGGGGGAGGAGGAGGAGGAGGAGGAGGAGGAGGAGGAGGATGAGGAGCAGGAGGAGATGAAGCCTCTTGGGCCGTCTTGGCGGTCTATTGTGCCGTCTTGAGGCCATCTTGGGCGGCCGGGGGCGGGAGCGGGCGGGTACTGCAGGGAGTGGGGCGCCTGGCAGGGTCCATGTCGATCCGATTCGAGTTTCTAAGTGTTCGAGCCTCTCTACGAGGGCCTCTTGCGGTTCTCTTGGGGCTTCTTAGCGGCGTCTTGGGCCGCTTGGGGGCCATTCTGGGCGTCTTGGGACGTTCTTGCGGGTCGGCAAGCTGTGAAGTTCAATTCGAGTTCCCCCGATGGGGCCCCTCTTGGGGCTTTCTTGGGCTGTCCAGGGGGCCTCGTGGGCCGTCTTGGGGCCCTCTTGGGCCGTGTTAGGCCCATGTTGGGAGTCTGTTGGGCTGTCTTGGGGCGATTTTGAAGGTCTCTTGAGCAGTGTTGGTCGCGCTGGACCTCGAGACGTCGTATTGGGCAAAATGTGCGTTTTCCTACGGGAATGGGGCACTTTTTGCTTGTTGAGGCTTTCTAGGAGAGCCTCTTGAGGCTCTCTTGGTGCTTCTTGGCGGCGTCTTGGGCCGTCTGGGGGCCCTCTTGGGCGTTTTGGGACGATCTTGCGGGTCGGCGAGCTTGAGAGTTCAATTCGTGTCTCTCCGATGGGGCTCCTCTTAGGGCTGTCTTGGGCTGTCCAGGGGGCCTTGTGGGCCGTCTTGGGGCCCTCTTGGGCCTTGTTGGGCCCATGCTGGGAGTCTGTTGGGCTGTCTTGGGGCGATCTTGAAGGTCTCTTGAGCAGTGTTGGTCGCGCTGGACCTCGAGACGTCGTATTGGGCAAAATGTGCGTTTTCCTACGGGAATGGGACACTTTTTGCTTGTTGAGGCTATCTAGGAGAGCCTCTTGAGGCTCTCTTAGGGCTTCTTGGCGGCGTCTTGGGCCGTCTGGAGGCTATCTTAGGTGTCTTGGGACAATCGTACGGGTCGGCGAGCTTGAGAGTTCAATTCGAGTTCCCCGATGGGGCCCCTCTTGGGGCTGTCTTGGGCTGTCCAGGGGACCTTGTGGGCCGTCTTGGGGCCCTCTTGGGCCGTGTTGGGCCCATTTTCGGGGTGTCGGGCCGTCTTGGGGCGATCTTGAAGGTCTCTTGAGCAGTGTTGGTCGCGCTGGACCTCGAAACGTCGCTCATGCGCAAGATGTAAGTTTTCCTACGGGAATGGGAACACTTTTTGCTTGTTGGGGCTCTCTGGGAGAGCCTCTTGAGGCTCTCTTGGGGCTTCTTGGCGGCGTCTTGGGCCGTCTGGCGGCGACCGAGCGCCCCTCGGACTGTCTCGAGCACGTCACGGGGCTCTCTTGGAGCGTTCCTGGGGCGCTCGGGAAGGCCTGAAAGGCAGCGCCGAGGAGGAATACCATCTCTGGGTCTCACCTTGCCGGGACCTGGCCGGGTACTCTTCGTTCGGGAGCCCCCAGGGGCCGCCCCACGCGGGCGAACTAGAAAATTGTAAACCAGTTACTGGAGTTCTTAGCACGCCTCTGGCCCGTTGGGCCGGCGAATTTGGACCCCCGGGGGCCAATCTATATTGATATCCACCGCCCGCTGGGGCACCAGGACGTCGGTTCCCAGGCAGTGGATATGG